ACAGCTAAGAAGGCAGTAGAAGGCAAACAGCARAAAACTGAACAATCTCTTATTGTTGTGTCTCTGATTGGGTTTTTAATTTATCTTGAAGAGCAGCTATACTTTCAAGTGTATACTTGAAGATAAATACAAGTGTGTACTGGAAGATAATACATATTATCTGCACTATCTGCATTAGAGAATGCAGTAAAAACAAATATTTATAAGAACTCAAGATATTACTATCGTTATCAAAACAAATATGAATATAAGTAAACAGTTGAAATAAAGGTCACTAACAAAAAATAAAACATTAAGAAATCAAGAAATAAACTCAGAACTGATCTCTCTCATTTAAACTATTTACACAACATAATGACTTTCATTTATTTTTTATGATGTACATATTTAATACGTAATTATTAATACGCAATTATCATGCTTCTTCTGCAAAGAACGCACAACAGCCAAAACTGAAACACAGAACATATAAAAACATGATGTAAAACAAAAAACAACTAGAAGAAAACAAAAAATCTTTTTTTTTTTCAGTTCAATGGCATAAAAATAATGAAGATATTAAAAAAACAAGTTTTTTACAAGATCTGAAATGAATCTATTCATTATTTGTTATTATAGAAAATGTTATAAAAGCTTTAACAGTGAAAGCAATAAATGAGCAATGTACGTATTCATGGCACATTCTGGACACATGGCTGATAAAAACTTTAGAAAGAATATTCTATATATAAATATATTTCTTTTGCTAAGGCAACAACTTCTAAAGAATAACTTGGAAAGTTAATACTCATATATCATATATCTTTTCATATATCTTCTACTATATTCTACAAATTACATACTTTACATATGTAAAACATATGTAAAACAAGAGTCAGGATTTAGTTTATCCAAAAGATTTTAAAGTAGTATAATCTAAACTAGGCTAATATACAGTCTATCWGCTAACTAATACTATATACATGCCTCTCAGCATATACCCTATTCATACAGACTGATGGGAGAAGATTCAGGAGACAAAGATAGGTCTCCAATTAGATCTCCTCAAAGCAGATCAATGCTTAATAAAACATACTCAATGTTTGAAATACACTTCAGTCTTGGTTGGTTAAAAAGAGATGATACCTCAGATCCTTGGTGCCTGACACTTTCAACATAATTCCTGTGAAACTATTTTTTCACATAGCTGATAGGATTGACTCATATGATGGAGTAGTTTGGATGATCCAAGTGACTCAAAAACACAGAGGTACTTAGGATGACACAAATATACATGCTTCTTGCTGTATTGCAGAAAACATCGGGAGACAGAAATCCAGTTCCCACTGTCAGATACACTTCGCCAGTCACAAGCAGAGGCTAGGAAACTACGGATCATATTCTTCACGTGAGGCAGGTCTAAGAACAGGAAGCAAGGACCTGCACAAGAGGAGCGTACACTATTCYGAACTGTCTATAAACTAACATCTCTTTCGGAAGATCATTAAATTTTAAAGGTGAAAAACAAGTCTCAAGTCTGATGTGCCATTGGTACAATGAATAAAGAAGACCAGAATTCATGGTTTGAATCATTACAGCAAGCCCCACTAAGGCATTTGTCAGACACACTCGCATATGTTTGCAGCGTGGCACTTTTCCTGGACTTCCTGGGCCATCCATTACCTCTGTGCATTTCCTTTCCTGTGCCATCCATTATCTCTGAGCACTGGGGGATATGCCCTTATGTCTCTAAGGCTAATGGATGGTCCCTGATCTGCAGTCTTTGAAGGAAGAAATCTCTGGGAAATGTATGTGGGGTCAGAGAGGCACCTCTTGTTGCTTGGAAAGGAGGTGGGATGTCCTCCCAGATGGCAATTTTGGCAGAACCCCATAACGGACGGGACACCAACACTTCCTTGCAACCTCCTTGTTTCCAAACCAGGAGATCTCCTCAAGTTCCCCATTCCTCTGGAAGCACCTCACCTTTGGGGAAGTAAGCTGACCACCGGCATATGTCTTTGAAACCACAGTGCTCTTTCAAATTTACCTCTGAAATGGAAAGAGGATGAGAAATTTATGTTTTTCAATTGAAATAATCCTCTGCCTCTGTCCTGCCAAAGTAAGAGAGGTGGAAATCACTCTCCAGGGCTCCTAGTAGACAGAATTTGCTTTTAATCAGACATATCATCATCCTCAGTTCTGGTCACAAAATCCTTGCTGGGGGAAAAATACTCWTCCTTCTTCTTTTTTACTCTGGAGGGAAAAATGAAACTATCCAACTATGGTTTATCGAACTATCCAACTAGGGTTTCATCAAAATGCTGCATTTTCATATTTTCCTGTAATAATCCAAACTGTTGAGTACTGTTAAGTTTGATGCCAGCCCAAATATTTCAGACAACGTGGGGGTTATTCCAAACCTTAATTACAGATTGATTGCTCATCTTTGCAGAATCCTGTATGTCCACAGAGTGTCCACAGTTCAGCACATTGTCATTCACTTTATCCAGGAGCTTTTTATCTATCTCTGATAGAAGCTTTTGAGTCTCAGGAGCCATCTCTCTGACAGGGAAAAAGAYCAGCTTTAGAAGGAATCTCAGGCAAAAAATCTTGCTATTGATTTCGGTGGTACATTTCTCATAAGGCCATACCTGCCAATTCTAGCTGTATTTTAAAAAGACGTATTAATAGATGTTCTAAAATAGTCCAGTCTCAAAATACCAATATAATATGGTAGAAAATGCATGTAAGCAAAGTTGCAATATTTTAACATTTACTGAAAGCTTTGAATATAACAGCTGAAGATATTCTGTCCCTAAGATACGCTTGTCCATGTATCTTCCTAGAAAAACTACCTTCAAAATATGGCAATTGCCTTTAATTTACTACAAAAAAAAAAAAAAAAGAAAGAAAAAAGAAATTAAACTTCCTCCTGAACCTGCTAACAGTGTTTTCAAACTACAAGCTACCCGGTGTTGCTCTCACAGTGAGCAGGAAATCTGAAATAAAAAGCCTTATTCTTTCCTTTCTTTTTCCTCTTCCCACAGTATCCAGGCTCGCATGACCTCCTAATCCCTCTGAACAGGGTGATGTCACATTTCTGTCTTAACCATCTAGGTCAGCACAACATCCTCTGAACACATAGCTCTTATCAACATCCTGGAAGATGTCTGTTTTCTTCAGTATCCAAATGACATGAAGTCTGTGGACTCCATGCCAACTTTGGAGACTGGTCTAAAGTATGCACATGCAAAAGTGTCAAATAATTATTCTGGGGTATGCATGCCAACTTGAAAAATCTGAATGCAATCAAGGTTTGAGGTGAAGTCCACCCTGCATTTATAGGTGGGTACAGCCAGTAAGTGAAAGGAGGCCCTCAAAATGGAGACGTTCAGTTGGAGAACTCACATGTCCCTGAGAAAGACAAAAAACCCTCTAGCAGACAGCACACCAAGCACCAAGGAAGACCACAGAGCATAGGTTTTAGCTAAAACATGTTCTCATCTTTGCTCTATCTCAATTATCTCCAAAAAAACATTTGAAGCTGATACCTTTGCAAACTGTAGAAATTCATCTGTTTCTAGCAGAATACATTTTACAAACTTAAAAAAAAAAAAGATTTTTAATTCAACACAGCAAATGTAAATTATTTACAATATTGTCTCACAGAAAGAAACCATCACCAAACACATGACCGGATTATCCATTTTATAGTCTGGTTCATCACTGCAGCCAATTCATGAATTCTAGCATCATATTTTAAAAGAAGTAGCCAAATTTTAACAGAAGTAGCCCTAGGCTTAGTATTTTTTAATGATTAAAAGTGTAAGCAGACAACAGCCTATGAGACTAGAAGACCAATGCGATGCTTTTAGACCATACACTTAATGACTATGACTAGGCTTGGCAATGTTATTAAGTGCCTGAATTCTTAGAAATGTCACAGCGTGGCACTGTTGAAAAGGCAGTGTATGGATCCTCTGTGTGGACTGAGAAAATAAAGGGTAACTATTCAGATAAAACCTCTGTGTGTGATAAACTTGATGAATACTGGCAAATCAAGGCTTTCAGGTGAGGTCAGAGAAGGTGCAGCCAATCATTCCTGAGTGACTCAGGCAGACAGAGACAAAAATGGCCATATCCGAGCTATTTTTAGCACATGAAAATTCTCCGTGAACCCAGTCAGCTGAGTCTGGAGGCATTTCATCACGCTAYGCTGTGACCAGCTGACTCATTCTTCAGTGCGAGCCATGTCGAGGAGGCGCCTAATAGATGCACCTAATAGATGCGCCTAATAGATAGGAATCATACCAAGAGAACAAAAACAACAACAAAAAGACATGGATTTTTGCCTGCTTGCAGCTGGACTACGGCTTTGCCCTCGATCACTGCACAAGCCCACAGTCCGGAGAGCACATGAAGTGCGATTAATTAGGACATTCCCCTCCACTGTTCCCTAGTCGCCCCGCGACGCC